CTCCATGGCGACACAGCACAACTCCTCATCAACAAATCGATTTTTCTTACGAAATTAAAGAACATAGCCCCAAAACTCTCAAAAAGAGAGAAAATTAACCCGATATACGGGTAGAAAAACTCTCAAATAGAGAGACTACAATTATTGTGAGCATAAAGTAAAAAACTAGTAGAAAACTAAGAGATTAGGGGCTTACCATCAACCAAAAGGTTGGTGGTAGCCCCTAGAAACAAGATTTTTTTTAGGGTTTTTGAAGAGGAAGAGAAAAGAGGAGAGGCGAAGATACGAAGTACAATTCTACGAGTTGTTATATATTTTTTTATTATACTCTAATATATATTAATCAGACCCTATGTTACAAGAAAAAGTGGTTGTATATTTTTTTTTTTATTATACTCTAACATATATAAGGTTACAAATGTACTAAATATATTAGTCTAATGAATAGAAATTACCCCTTTTAGTAAATAAAAGGTTATATAAATTGAATTTTGTACATGATTTTATTCTTTTAGAATTTCAAAATACTATTGTGATCTTTCAGTTTTATTTGAGAAATTTTGATGTTAAAATGCTTTTTTTTTGGTGCAACTTAAACCCTTAAAATATGTTTTGAGTTAATGCTAATTCAATATGCAATAACAATAACCAAATTGGACTCCTTAAATACTATAACGATTAGCTTTTTTAAGTTGTAACATATACCGTATTTCATTATTCTATATAAGATATGTCGCATTTAAATAAGGAGGTTATACAAATGAAGACTTTTTAAAGTTGATTTATTACATAGAATGAAATTCACGCCAATGATGATTTTTTCAAAGCGATGTTAGTAAGGATTTGAGGAGAAATAATACATTTACAAATTACAATTTTATATTCCGTAACATACAAAATTCCTTTGACAAGTAAACGCTTTTTACTTGTTTGAAGTTGATCCTTCAACAAAATTTATAGTAATTCATTCATAATTTTGCTCATGTATGACATCTTACACTAAATGATTATTTCGGTTGCTAACAACTTATCATTGCTAAATTATCCATTGTGTTTACAACTAATTTCATGAATCAGCATCCCCTGTTAATAGATAATTGAGTTATTATTATTAATATAATTATTATAATAAGATTGATAAAATGATAGTAATAATAATAACTTAATATAATCATGATATTTTATTTTGCAATAAGCAAAACTATTTTATCAAACTAGTACCGTGTAATATTAAAACAAAAGGTATAATTATTTGTTACATTTTTCCGAATCTAAATGAAATTTCAATTATATTTTCGTCACAAAAAAAAAGGGTTGAATTTATAATCTAATACTTGTGATCTTATTCAACGCTTATTATTGATGTGAAAGTCTATTGTTATTTACTTGATTACCTTTACTTATTCACCTTAATTTCTTATTACTTTCCATTGATTGTGTCTTTCTCACATTATCTATCTTAGCAAGGGTAATAACAAAAAGTTTAAAAGGGAAAAACATGTGCTTTAAGGAATTGAACTCGACATCACGTAACATGTCAATGTTTGCATATCTATCAATTAATCTAAGCCTTAATCATATAGCTGCTTGTGTTACTAAAAAACTTTCAAATATCATATTATGAATTGTTGTGTCGTTTTCCGATATGTGCTTACCAAACATAGCTACTTTATTACTAAAATATTTTTAAACAATATTGTTCGAAATTTTTGGGGGTTTTCTGCCATTGTCGACGACCTTAAACCATTTTCGACCATTATTACTGCTGTCGGCCATCAAGTCGATCTCCTATTTATTTATTATTCAATATGCCTTCGATACTTTTGTGCCTTTGACAATTATTGTATTCCACCACAAAATCCAAATTCATTTGAAATCAAGAGGAAGAACAAGAATACCATTTCACTACTTCAATTGAAAATGGGTATATTCTGCAAATAGACCTATTAATAATTGGAGACGATTAATGTAGGAAGAGTAAGTCAATTAAACCGCAAAATATGTAACAAATATGTTTTGCAAATAATAACACAACCTTTACATTGTTAATTGGAATAGTTAGTGATTTGAACACCGCAAAATCGAAAATTCTGAAACTGATTTAAGTCGAAAATTCTTAATGTTCTCACGTATACTACGATTATTTTGTTCAATTAAACCGACTAATATGAGCGATGGATGTAAATTCAAGATTCTGCAATGATATGCACCAGCTTCAAGGTTTATTTTTCCATCTGCCATGGTCGTCGTTTCGCCCTTTCTTTGGAACAATGTTCATTGAATTGAAGAAATGAACAGATTATTTTTGTAAGAAAAAATAAAAATAAATTAAATTAAAGATATTAAATTACTAGCATTGGAAGTGACAAACTATTTGAATTTTAAACATTAGATTAATTTAAAATTTCATTTTAAATTTGAATGAAATTTCAAAGTAGTGGAATTTAGGGGTCATTCTAATTAACAATGAAAAATTGCCATACAACATTGTATGTGGTCTCTAAATACAAAGGTTGTATGTGTAGCATTTTCCCTCTTTTATTTCGGCTCACTTACTTCACCAAAAAAATATTTCGGCTCACTTCTCCTTGGCTCTGAATTTCATTGTGCCTTTGTCCAAAATCCCCCCCCCCCCCATCACATAAGTATGATTAAACGTACTTAGTTGAAGGGCATCAATTAATTCAAGCAAGCGTAAGGTGGGTCCAATACTCCAATGGTCCATAAATTGTTTGAGATTTGATACCAACTTATATAGTTATATATTGAAAAACACTTGAGATTCCAAACTATATGGAGAAAATTGGGGATATCACGCGGGTGGAAGGAGGCTTTGGACCAATTAGACCAACCTTAATTCTCGAATTCAGATTAATATTTGGGTTATGTTAAAAAAAACTATTAAAAAATAGGAGTAATATAAAACTTAATAGTAATACAAAATATGGTCTGGGTTAAATTGGGTTGTTCGAGTTTCTTTCAGTAATTTCATTTTAGGCTAGGTTCACATCGAATAAGATATAACAGCTCTACATATATACTACAGCTTAGATTATGTATGGCAAAAAAAAATTCATAAACTTCATTGCCTCATTGGTAATTATCTTACGGGAGACAAGTAGTTACATTGCCACATTTGATCGAATGCATTTACCTTTTACTTGACAGCCAATTTAACTTTTTACGAAACAAGTATCACTTATTGTTTTATGAGTTTATCGAAGTCAATGTACGGTCAATTGTGAGCTTAAATACTAATGTAATAATTAAACTTCTTTAAAACTTGTATATCACCTTAACTCCATTTAAATATCAATAGAAGATTAAAATAATTGCTTCCAAAATCTCCAATAGCATTGGCCTATGAACTGTTTGCGTCAAACATGTCTTTCCAAGCAAGCGTAACATCGAAAGCAACTTTGATTGCCAAAGTTTTCTATAATATTGGAAGCCCACCATTAACTTTAATTAAACAAACTTTATAATCTTACTTTACTTAAGAGGAAAGGGGAAGGATTAGATTTTGCTAAAGATACCTATGCCTTCCAAAAACAGTGGATTTCGTAATCTTAAGCAACTCTGGATTAAAAAAAATAAAATAAAAAAAATAAAAAAAACTCTATATTAAATTCATGGTTTAACCCCCCCTTTTTTTTTTTTTTTTTTTTTTTGTGGCAAGAGTTTAACCGTCAATTTATTGATATGAATATATGATGATATTCATGAGCATATAAATAATGCTTCTTTGACCATATTTTTGTATGACTTTTATTTTTCCGTGGACTTAAATTTACCTTTAATTAATACAAGTATGTTCCCATCTTGCTTAAAACAAAGTTTAATATTTCGTCCCATTAAAATAAATGATTATTATTTTCAGTTTTAAATTTTAAAAACCATGTTTATTTGAGTTTGAAGAGCTTTAATTAGCTTAATGGCCCATTTGTAAAGCAATCATAAGTTTCAATGACTTTGTTTGTAATTTGGTGAGGATATTCCATGTTCATTACTATGTCAATGAAACTTCTTCCTCAAAGCAAGGGGATGATAATACAATTTGTGATAAAAAGTGATGTATTTGAAGAAACTTCTTCCTCAAACATGTATTTTATGATGATAAAATGGATATTGGCATGAAATTCCGTTGGCAAACATACTTGTAAAACCATTACCAATACCATCATTTGTATCCACCAACCAAACGGAAGTAATTATTTTGAAATCGGTTATAACAGTATTAGATGACGTAGTTGTAGAATGTAGCTTCTTATTAGAAAGCTTGTTTGTAAGAACATCAAAAACGATAATTATGTCAACTTCGAAGTCATAATGATATGTTTCGCTCGAATGAAAATTTGTTCAAGGATTATACTATTACATCAGTTGCCTTTCAGTTTAATATTGATCGCTTGTAGTATTTGTACTTTTCGAACTTCGACACCCTCCTCTATGAACGCTTTTGCATTTTACAACTGCATGTCTACATCATTACATACTCTTGTAAGATGTAATACTCAGTATAGAATAACTGGAATTTTAAATTTTTAGATCTTGCTCTAAGGCCACTCCATGCTTCACCAGATTGTTCGTACATAATTTTAGTCCTTTCATCTCTTTTCAATGGATAAAGGGAACTTTTGTAATTTAGGCACCGAACAAAAAACATTGTTAATTGTCAATGTGTTGCCAATTGAGCCATACGGAACTACGGAGTAAATAACGAAACAACAAAACGACCAAAACAAACAAAAACAAATGCCTACAAAAATCACCTCATTTTCAACACATTCTGACCTTGCGCAAACAAAACACAAATGTAGTCATCTTCAACAATCCCAACCATGAAGGCTCGTATGGTTCTGAACAATATAGTTATCGTATTCTGAAAGATATCGAGAAATGAGATCCACAATATATCTTTGTTTCACATAAGCATTGAAGATTATGGCAAAAAACAGAGCCACATGAGAAGATCAAAAACCTGAGGCTGCAGCAAGGTGTGACCCAGAAAAATAGTAGAGTATAGAAATTAAACATTCTGCAATCCGCAAAGATTACATACCATAATTCTCGAAAAATAGTTACAACAAACAATAGAAATTCCAAGCTTAGGTCCCAAAAAAAACCACAAGCTCCTAAACCCTCTCCATCTCTCTCGACCAAATCAAATCAAATCATACACCACACTAATAAGTTTTTTTTTTTCTTTTCTTTTTTGACCAAACAGAAAGAAAAACAAAGAGACAACAGGAGACTATGTAGGACTACAATCTCAAAACTTATCTTCTTAGAAGCACTTTCGGTGGACAATTGATGGGCCAGATTCATCGTATTCTCCCTTGGAGATCCACATCTGTAAAAACACAACATCACCAGTTATATGCTTTGAAATTAAAACACTGCAACAAAACACTAACAATTTGATACTTAAACGATGCAGTACCTGTTGGAAGGTGCTGAGCGACGCAAGGATAGACCCTCCTATCCAGACACTGTACTTCCTCTCAGGAGGTGCAACAACCTTGATCTTCATGCTGCTGGGAGCAAGAGCTGTGATTTCTTTGCTCATACGGTCAGCGATTCCAGGGAACATAGTTGTACCACCACTGAGCACAATGTTACCGTATAGATCCTTCCTGATATCGACATCACACTTCATGATGGAGTTGTAGGTAGTCTCGTGGATACCTGCAGCTTCCATACCGATCAATGATGGCTGGAAGAGGACCTCTGGGCAACGGAATCTCTCAGCTCCGATGGTAATGACCTGACCATCAGGAAGCTCGTAGTTCTTTTCAATGGCAGAGCTGCTCTTGGCAGTCTCTGATTCCTGCTCAAAGTCAAGAGCAACGTATGCAAGCTTCTCCTTAATATCACGGACAATTTCCCGTTCAGCTGATGTTGTGAACATGTAACCTCTCTCGGTAAGGATCTTCATGAGATAATCGGTAAGATCACGTCCGGCAAGATCCAAACGGAGGATGGCATGGGGGAGGGCATAACCCTCGTAAATGGGAACTGTGTGACTCACACCATCACCAGAGTCGAGCACGATACCTGTTCAATGGACACAAATGAGATGATAATAAACATGACAGCAGACAATTATACAAGGAAATTAGGTGAACATAACAGCTTTATTAGGTACAAACCTGTGGTTCGACCACTAGCGTACAGTGATAGAACGGCCTGGATGGCAACATACATAGCGGGCACATTGAAGGTCTCAAACATGATCTGGGTCATCTTCTCTCTGTTAGCCTTAGGGTTCAATGGTGCCTCAGTAAGCAACACTGGGTGTTCTTCTGGGGCAACACGAAGTTCATTGTAGAAGGTGTGATGCCAAATCTTTTCCATATCATCCCAGTTGCTCACAATACCGTGCTCAATTGGGTACTTCAAGGTCAAAATACCTCTCTTGGACTGAGCTTCGTCTCCAACATATGCATCCTTCTGTCCCATACCAACCATGACACCAGTGTGTCTGGGACGACCAACAATACTTGGGAAGACGGCCCTTGGAGCATCATCTCCGGCAAATCCAGCCTTTACAATGAAAAACGAAAGCACATTTAGATCCAACACAAACCATTAAACAGTAAGAAAAATTGCATAGTAGTGCAAGAGTCTCATCTTACCTTGACCATACCAGTTCCATTGTCACAGACAAGGGGTTGGATCTCCTCTGCATCAGCCATCTCGATTTATATACTACATAAACACAGTCAACACGTCAATACAAGGTTATTGTGATTTGTAGGCACAATAAACAATGGACTCTATCACCCATATCTCATTATCAGACTAATTCAACATGAAACAATCAACTAAACACAATCAATATGTAATTGTTAGTTCAACATGACTCAATCTTGATTATCACAGCAGGTTTGAAACTTCAATGATGATACATGGCGATTAGTCAATGCCAATTGAATTTTGTATTGAATTCTTAACTCTATTCGCACCTCTGCACCAAACTCAATCACACCACATTTCAAGCTGCCAATTGTTCTTACAAACTAAATCACTCAAAAAGAACTACAATGTCAAACAACCTTACAGCAACAGAGAAAGACCAACCTCTTACGAATTTCTAAATTAAAAGACTGAAAAGGAGCAAATTACTTTTTAGATCTCTAATTCAAGCTTTAGTATTTGTTACATATTTCTCAACATTCTATTCATACCTACTTACACGATCATATACTGAATAAAGTGAGTCTAATAATAATCAATTCATCCGATCCAATTAAAATTCAACAACATGAATTCTAAGCATTCTACAGCTTTAATATGAACATATAATCATACTTAAAACAAATAGCTTGTCAACTAATTACAACCGCACTTTCAAATACTACTTCAAACATCTCCAAATGACAGAAATCTAGCATTCAAGCAAAACAATTCATCTAACAGTATACTCGTAAGATTTTAACATCTCCGAATGACAGAAATCTAGAATCAAACTTAGCAATTCATCAACAGTCTCACATCTCCAAATCGCAATCAGCTCATCTAATTAAAATCGCAAATCGATCCAAATGACCGTAATCGAGCATTTAAGCATCTCCAAAATACTGTATATAATGTCATTATCAATTACAGTAAACCCTAACATTTCAATAATCGTCAAATATCATAAATCGAACAAAAAATTACACAAAATCAACAGATTTCAGCAGATCGAACTAGTCAAATCACAATCAATTCAAGTCAACTGAACCAAATACTTCAGATCGGAAACTAATCCACCATCAACAATACTCAATCGAGCAAAATATCATCAAATTCAAAGCCAAAAGAAAGATCCAGAATCACAAATTACAAAATAAAAATTGAATCTAATCTAAAAAATTAAAAACAAAAACAAAAAAGAGGATCCGAAATTCAAAGTGCGAGAACTTTTAAGCCCTTACCTTGAAGAACGAAGCGAGCTTGCGGCTGCGAGAGGAGAGAGAAAGTAGAGTGAGAAAGTGAGAGATTAGAGAGAGAATTTAGAGAGAGAAAGTGAGAATTTTGAGAGAGAGGCGATTGAATGAGTGACTTGCTATCCTTTATGTTAAGAAGAAGTCCGAAATGAAATGCAAATGAAATGTAAATGCGCCTTACATTTATTTCATCTTCATTTCAAATATTTTTAAAAAAATTTGAGGGTTTTTATTTTATTTATTTTAATATTAATAATTTAAAAAAGAAATAAAATAATTTTAAAATAGAGAAAATATTTGGGGAAAAATGAGGACAATGATTTAAGTTCCAGGGAGGAGAGAGAAAGAGAGGGCGGGCGGTGTGACATCATGTGAGCTGGAAGCACGTACTCGTCCACGTGGTCACTTTTTGCTTTTTAATTTTTATTTTTTTTTTTTTTATTTTTGGAGAAATTAGATTATTTATATTTAATTATTTTGGGGTTCTTTTGAAATAGACATAATTATTTTAGAAAATTGATATTATAAAAAATTTGACAGAATGTTGTTGTGAATTCATGTGCTAGAAAATATTGAGAGAATGTGGAACCACGTTGTGTTGGGGTTATTGTAGTTATTATTTTCCAACCCCTTTTTAAGTTGGGTGTTCATGTTTCTTCCTTTTGAGGAATTTTTTTGCCCTACATGTTATTTGTTCGAAAATCGTTGTCGAGTCTGTTATTTTATAATGTTCGGGGAAAAATTGGTGTGTTTTGGTTTTTAAATAGAAGTTAATTATATGTTAAAAAATCTCTACGTAATATCTAATTAGAATAGAATGGAGAATGGTTGAGGATGAGAATGGGACAACCATTAGTCTATTACTATACAAAGGTATTCCAGTGAAATATGTAATAAATTATCATATGGTGATGAGATAATTGTATAATAGCTCAATAGAAAGAGAATGTGAGATTTAAAAGTGTGACGCCTAGTGTATCCTATGAAGAATAGATGACTTACTATGTAGATTTATACATTAATATTAACCATGAGGACAATTTATCATGTAATATGTGTGTTATGAAGTATACATGAACAATTAATGGTAGTCATCATAAGGTTTCCATTCATATAAAACTAAGGAAAGGGGTAGAATAGTCCTTAAATTGACATAGATCGAGTTAGTCTTTAAACTTGCTAGGGGAATGAAATTTGGTGCCATAATATGAAGTGTTGTATGATTATGTTGCACGCCTATCAGCTTATGTATGGAATGAAGGAATGCTCCAAAAGAAGGTCTCACGAACTATAGAATTGAATCATTTTTTAATTACTACTCAATTTTATTTTATGCTCCTTTGGTATGTTGAACTGTATATGTTAGACGAAGAATTCCTTTTGACAAAATTGGTTTTTAACACTTTTTTAATATATCGGCAAAAGCATGATAATGTCTTCATTGCTCAGGGATTTCTTATTATTTTTAGAAGTTTTATACACAGGTAACCAAGTTTGGTGTAAACACCTAAACTCATCGGCACCTATAGTTGGTTTGCTTCATAAATCATAAATAGATTTGGTAAATTTCGTTATAAGACTTGTATAGTTGTACTTGCAATATAATGTTAGGTTCATTTGATTAATAATCAAAGGCATCAAAGATTGCCAAGGCTTGGAAAATCAAGCTTTTGTTTGCACAATGCTCTTCCTTTCCTCAAGTGTCTACTTTCATATATGCCAAAGGTGAGATGATAGATTATTACATTGGTAGTATAGTTTTAGTTTCATAAAAATTTGAAGATCATGAAGAAACTACCACTAATATTAAATGAATTTCCTCAAACCAGATTAGTTTTGACAATTATCATGACATATTGTGGAAGTATAGATGTGAATGGAAATTGTGGAATATTATTTTGTTGAAAAAATATATGTAATACAAAGTATATCCGATAAAGTATATTTTTTTAGAATATGAAAGAGGGGCAGTGGAAATAATTATTTTTTAAAAATAAAAGTCTATAAAATTATAAAGTGAAACATATAATAAAGTACTATATAATTTATGTGAACCAAAAATTGTAGAACAAATGAATAAAATAGAAAGGATAAAAAAAAAAAAAAAAAAACATGGGTAGCAAATAATATTATTTTTGATCTTCAACTACACATAAATGGGATAACATATACTCCTATAGAATTCAACAAAAGATGTCCAGGGTTAAAACTCATTTAAAAGAATGGGCAAGAAAGAGGTATGGAAACAATAACAATAAGCTATAAGCAAATGAGGAAAAAATAAAACAGCTCGAAAACAGTCTTCGCATCCAACCATATAATCCAATTCTTGTCAGCCACATGAATAGGATGATTAAACAAAGGGAAAAACTACTTTTATACGGTCAAAAAACTTGGAGGAACATTAGTCGAAAAAATTGGCTAACTCAAAGCGATAGAAACTCTAGGTTTTTTCATCATCGAATGAGGAAAAAAATTGCAAGTACTACAATTTATAGATTAAAAAACAAGCACGATGCTTGGGTAGACACTAAAGATGAAATAAACTCTCTCCTTATTAATTCGTTCAAATCTAGATTCAAGTCAGATCATAGTAATCTAAGACGTTTTGATTGGTCATTTATTGAATCCATAACCTCGCTAGAAGATTGTAATTAATTCTCTTATAACCCCTGTAACATGTGAAGAAATTAAGAATGCCTTTTATGATATGAACCCTCACAAAGCTCCAGGCTCTGATGGATTTGGAGCAAAATTTTTCCAATCATATTGGCCAATCATTGAAAAAGATATCTATTTAGCAATTCAAGGTTTCTTTCACCATGGTCACCTTCCGCCCTTTTTGAATCACACTCTTATCACTCTAATTCCAAAGACAAAGTTGCCGAAGACCCCTAATCATTTTCGTCCAATAAGTCTTGTAAATACAATTGTAAGGCAATTTTGAAAATTCTAGTCAACCGTTTATGTCCGATTTTGAAAGAAAAAGTAAGTCCTCTTCAAAACGCTTTTACTCCAGATCGTTCAATCCATGATAATCTTTTGATTGTTCAAGAAGTTCTTAATAATTTTCATAAATCTAGTAACAAAACTGGATGGTGTGCTCTTAATTTAGATATGCAAAAGGCTTATGATAGAGTAGAATGAGATTTTCTATGGGAATGCTTAAAGGCTTTTGGTTTTCCCCAACAGTGGATAATGTGGATTAGTGAGTGTGTAACAAAAGTCTCTTACTCTTTAAAGATTAATGGCACTTCCACTAAATGGTTTAAACCGTCACAAGGTTTACATTAAGGAGATCCTCTTTCCCATTACCTCTTTATTCTTTGCATGGAAGTTTTAATAAGAAAACTTTTAATCGAAAGTCTTAAAAGCAAGCCGGAATAGGCTTTAAAATTTGCCCACGATCCTTTAACATCCCCTGTCTCTTATTTGCAGATGATAGTCTAGTTTTTTGTAAAGCCACGACTATCTCTTGTAATAAATTAAAAGCCTTACTTGATGAATTCTGCAAAATTTCAGGTGAATTGATTAATTTTTACAAGTCATCGATTATTTTTTCGAAGAAAATTCCAAATTCAAGGCGTATCAATTTAGCCAGCCATTTTAACATGACTCCCAAGGCTTGTTTAGGCCGTTACCTTGGAGTGCATTTTAGTTCTTATTATCATAGAAAGGTGACTACAAGCTTATCCTTAGTAAAATCGAAGAAAGAATTAAACATTGAGAATCTGACTTCTTATCTATATCTAAATTCAGACGACATACCCTAATTCAAAGCAATCTAGAGGCTTTGCCATCCTACTTGTGCTCCTTCTCTTTCTTGCCAACTGACATTACAACGGAAATAGACTACCTACATTGAAATTTCTTTTGGAGACAACAAAAAGATAAAAACAGTATCCCCCTTATAGCATGGGATAAAATTTGTAGACCAAAGAGTGCAGGAGGTCTAGGCCTTCGTCGAACCTTACCACTTAATAAAGCTTTTATCGCTAAATTAGGCTGAAAATTTATGACTGACCCAAATAATCTTTGGGTGAAAGTTATTAAGGATAAGTATCTTCACAATACATACCTTTTTGAGTACAAAAACAGGTTAAAAGACTCCCATATATGGAGAAAGATTCTTGCTCAACGTGAATTATTATATTGAGAAAAGGTATTTGTTGGAAAATAGGTGATGGCAAAGATATTTTCTTCTGGATTGATAATTGGATGGCTAACCAAAGCCTTTTAGAGCTTCTTGAGATAGATATCAATCAAGTTGATCTTAACACTAAAGTGTCCAACTTTATTTTGCCTAATAAGCGGTGGGATAGACAAAAATTAAGGGCCATTCTTCCTAAAATCATCACAGCTCAAATTAGTGGTATTCCACTACCTCTTAATGATATGGTAGATACCCCCGTTTGGGGGCTCACTACACATGGAAACTTCACAATTAAGTCGGCCACTTGGCTAGCTCATAACCTCAATCCCGATAACAATAATTGGCCCTATCGATGGCTTTGGAAAATAGATATACCCCCTAAGCTTTAAATTTTTTTATGCAATTCATAATAGTTTAGGTATTCGAGACACTCTTCACAAAAGAAATATTATCCCGTTAAATATGTGCCCCTTATGCAATCAGCTAATTGAAATAATTGACCATCTTTTCATTAGTTGCACTAGAACTAGAGAAGTTTGGAACCTCCATTTAACTAAAAAATGGTTAGATTGTACAACCTCTTTTTAAATTTAGTTGAAACAATAATGTACTTAAGAAAACATCCCAACACTTTAAAGAAATTTATTTTCTTTATTTGGAGTATATGGAAAGAGCGGAATGCTATTATCTTCCGCAATGAAACCTTTGACATCTTTCGGATTTATCACCGAGCGCAATTTGCGTTCAATGAGTGGTACCAAAAAAGTCGATCTCATAGATACCTTTTTTTTCCATGGAATCTCCCATCTCGAGATCCCATAACCATTCTCCTCACATTCATTCTCCACCATTCATTCTCACTTCATGGAAGACACCTCCCAACAACTTCTTCAAACTAAACTTTGACGGTTCGGTTCACAACAACTCAGCAGCAGCAGGAATCATCATCAGAGATAGTAGCGGAACCTCCA